AGTTGTTCGATTAACACAAAAATTATATAACTTTGTCATTTAAATTATATAAATGCCATGATTATAATTCAGCAGAACTATTGTCCTGATAAGTTCCAATACTTGAATGTACCCTTAATAGGGTGTAAAGTATTGGAGGAACATCAATAGCATTAAATTGTTGGACATAATAATTAGATACATCACAGTGAGCGGAAAATATACAGACTTGACATGACCAAATTAGCCTGCAGGCTGACCAGTGACCAGGGTTGTTAGCATCGGGGGGGGGGGGGGTCGATAATTTGTTAGTACCGTAGGGGGGTCAATAATTTGTTAGTTCCGTGTGGGGGGGGGGGTCGATAAATTGTTAGTTCCCAATGTTAGGCTTATTGTCCCCTGGGAACTTGCATGGCGAGGGGACATAGATTTAAACACAGGCCAGTCAGAGATTTAAACACAGGCCAGTCAGAGATTTAAACACAGGCCAGTCAGAGATTTAAACACAGGCCAGTCAGAGATTTAAACACAGGCCAGTCTGAGATTTAAACACAGGCCAGTCAGAGATATAAACACAGGCCAGTCAGAGATTTAAACACAGGCCAGTCAGAGATTTAAACACAGGCCAGTCAGAGATTTAAACACAGGCCAGTCAGAGATTTAAACACAAGCCAGTCTGAGATTTAAACACAGGCCAGTAGGAGATTAAAACACAGGCCAGTCGGAGATTAAAACACAGGCCAGTCAGAGATTCATTGGTCAGGCCAGTAAAGCTTAGTTTTGCTAAACCGAAGAGTCCTGAATTTTAACACCCGTGTACCTGAGGCTCTATGTAGTCCGTCGCTTGACCTACTTTTGTTTACCGTCGTCATGGTGATGATGGCTGTCGTGATTTCGTTTTTTAATAATGCTTCATTGTCATTTCAGAAAATTATGCGTTTAAGCGTTTTTTTTGCTTATTATTCAAATTCAAATTTATTAAAATTCAAATTTATTAAAAAAAAAACGGTTACAAATGTAGGCACAAAGGCCTTTTTTCACATTGGCCGTTTAAACAAATAAAACAAATCAATAACACATAGCAGTAACATAGCACTAAAAATGTGAAATAAAGAAACAATGTTACATAGTTATCATACATAATGAGAAAAAAAAAAAAAAAAAAAAAAAAAAAAAAAAAAGAGAGAATATAATAGATGAATGAGAAATGTTACAATGAGTCAGTTAGGTCATTAAAAAATTTTAGTTTTAGTTTAGATTTGAATATATTTTCAGATCTAGATAGCTTTATTTTATTAGGAAGATTGTTCCACAAATTAGAACCAGAGTAGGCGAAGCTATGTTTTTGGAAAAAAGTTGAATATGGGAATGGTAAATTAAGACGACGATTTAATTTTATGTTAAAAGAAAATAGATCTGATAAGTAAGAGGGGGCTGTTTCGTGGAATATTTTATATAAGAAAATTGATTTAGTATATTTAGTTATTAATGATTTACAGACTGAATTGTGCAAAAAGTTACTAATTTTTTAATTTTTTAATCTAATCTACATACAATTTAATTATTTCATTACTGTTTAAGGTTTTAAATACAGAAAGCAAAGTAAACACCAAATATGTTATATGTATATATATATATATATATATATATATATATATATATATATATATATATATATATATATATATATATATATATAAGACATAAATATGAGAGTTAGTGTGTTTATTTCTGTTTCGAATCCCACAAAATAATTATTAATGATTTACAGACTGAACTGTGCAAAAAGTTACTAATTTTGTAATTTTTAAATCTAATCTAGATATAATTTCCTTATTTCATTACTGTTTAAGGTTTTAAATACAGAAAGCAAAGTAAACACCGAATATGTTATATGTATATATATAATTAAATATAATAATGAGAGATAGTGTTTATTTCTGTTTCAAATCCCACAAAATAATTATTAATGATTTACAGACTGAATTGTGCAAAAAGTTACTAATTTTGTAATTTTTAATTAAGAAGTGCAGAAAGGAAAGTAAACTCCGAATATGTTATATGTATGTATATATATATATATATATATATATATATATATATATATATATATATATATATATATATATATATATATATATATATATACATATATATAGATAGATAGATAGATATAGATATAGATATAGATTTAGATATAGATAAAGATATAGATATAGATAGATAGATAGATAGATGGATAGATAGATAGATAGATAGATAGATAGATAGATAGATAGATAGATAGATAGATAGATAGATAGATAGATAGATAGATAGATAGATAGATAGATAGATAGATAGATAGATAGATAGATAGATAGATAGATAGATAGATAGATAGATAGATAGATAGATAGATAGATAGATAGATAGATAGATAGATAGATAGATAGATAGATAGATAGATAGATAGATAGATAGATAGATAGATAGATAGATAGATAGATAGATAGATAGATAGATAGATAGATAGATAGATAGATAGATAGATAGATAGATAGATAGATAGATAGATAGATAGATAGATAGATAGATAGATAGATAGATAGATAGATAGATAGATAGATAGATAGATAGATAGATAGATAGATACTCTAGAAATCAGTTTTATATACTGCTGCTTAAATAAACAGTTTAAACACAATTTTATAATAAACAATGTCGATTATAGTTTTATTATTTTAAAAATGTAAGACAAAAAAGGATATGCATCGTTTATACTTACATTGAACGTTGTATGCACTGTGTTGAATTTGCTTAGCTTATTTGAAGACAGGTTATATTTTAAAATAATTGATTTAGATTTTTGTCGGACACAAGTGTCTTTAAAACAGCATCACCAATACTACAGCTTGTATAAATTAGTTGCTTTTTTTTTTAAACTTACCAGTTAAATAAGCCTAAACATTCTAATCCAACGCTTTAAACCAAAATACCTGATAATTGAAAAATAAAACTTTTATAATTGTTTTTCGTGTAGCGGTTTATATTTCTTTTCAATCAATTTTCCAGAATCTAGTCACCGAAAATAATAAACGTATTACAAAATAGAAAACACAATAGCATAATGGTTATTACAGAAATATGAATATTAAAAGATATAAGTTTTACAGAGTAGGTTACTCTAGGACAACTACATTGTTAAATGGCAATGATAAAATACATTAAAACATTTTTATTTATTTTAAATGTAACAATAAAAAATTTAAACTAACTAAAAAGTATAGATGTTTATAATTTTTTTTTTAAAAATGTGCTTTATAGTTGTAGATAAGCCACATCAGTATCAACCAAGAAAGCCTTTTCTGTATCAGCTTTAAATACTGATGGCATTAGGGATGGTTTTAGGCTCCAGATAGCTGTATCCTGGGCGTCTAAGCACATTTCTTTCGGCTATCGTTTTTGAGATGTCATTCAGTCTATTACGGAACCTACGAATAAATAGTTACATTATTTAAAAAAAAGGCTGCTGCAAATTACCGTACTAAATATGTTTAAAAAAATTATTGCATGTTTTCTTTGTGTATCGTTTATGAAATGTCGTGCAACTATTGCGTAAACTGCAGATAGTCGTTGTTTATTTTTTAGATACAGATTTAACTATTAACTAAAAGAAAAAGATTTCAGATGTGGTAAAGCTAACCGATAAAAGTATATTTTGATTATTTTATACCACATAAAAAAGTTAGCTTGTCGTGGAAGACATACATCTATACAACCATTGTAACAGGCTGTCGACTTTTATTTTATGGTATCATAAGGATGTAATTTGTAATGGCTGTACAGCTGTATTCGTTAGTCACGTTTTGATGTCGTTAAACAAGCCTACACTATTTAAATAACAATTACGGATTAAAAAGCAACCTATTTGCAGCTTATTTCTATATAAAAGTAGTCTTCAAATGTGTATTTTTAAAATCTAAATTATCTAGACATTTTTTTCTCTAAAAGATAATGCAGAAAATATGTCGAAACCGTCGTCAGTTAATTTCTCTACTTACTCATTTACTAAAGGCAGCGCCTTCGGATCACAAATATACTGCAATTCAAAGTTGCCCAGGCTGTTGGTTCCTTTGGAGCTCAGGATTTTGGTGATGGTCAGTGTGTCCATGATGTGACCTATGTCTGGAAGAGCTTTAATGACGTCAGCATCAGTGCTTGATTGTTCCTATATCAAAATATATCTTACTTGTTACATGAGCTTTGTATATTTGACATCATGCAATGTATAATATAAATATCTTAACAGGTATATATATATATATATATATATATATATATATATATATATATATATATATATATATATATATATATATATATATATAGGGGTCCATGGGAGGGGGTATAACCCCCCCCCCCTAACCCCCCCTTGCCTACGCCACTGAAAATGATTACAATTAATATATTTCTTTAATTAACTTTCCGTGCAGGCTATAACTTTTACCTACATTTCCGTCTAGATCTATAATACCAACATTTCTCCCCTGTTATCTCTTCAGGTTGCACCACAATTATGGTAACCATGTTATGTTCTTCTATAATTGTTTATGATTCATAAATATTGTCATTTAGTAGTTATATGCTAATGACAGTTTCACCTAAATGTTGTCATCCTGTAGTTCTATGCTAATGACAGTTCCACCATAAATGTTGTCATTCTTTAGTTCTATGCTAATGACAGTTCCACTATAATTTTTTTCTCTCTCCAGAGCCTGAAGTGTGTGCAGTCAGATGTCTAAAAATCAAGTGGGGAGTTCAAAGGTCAGTTTCACTCTATCTGCTATGTTAGTCTAAGAATGTATTTAATCTTAATCTTCTAAAGCTGACACTCATGCTGAATTCTGTTTGCCCAATCATTGACCAGTAGCATTTGTTATGTAGTTAGTAAAGAAACACTGGTTAATGACTAGTCAAGCTATCATATAAACTTCTTTCTTTAAAAAGACAAAATATTTTTAAATATACAGATACAACTGCTGAATGTGATGTGAAGGTCAAGGTTATTTCAATCAAACAGCTGCCACAGATGACCATAAGACTACAGTAAAGGCCAGTAGAGATCTGTCACATCAAGTTACAGGTAAGTTTGTTAATTATCTTTTAACTTAATCAAGTGTACAGCCATGGTTTAGTGCTGATGTAGACAGTGTGTCAAATCTTTGTGTTGTGGTTTATATAACAGGAATCAACTTGGATAGTCTAGATGACCACAACAGTATGGCCAGTGGAGAGGATAGTCTAGATGACCACAACAGTTTGGCCAGTGGAGAGGATAGTCTAGATGACCACAACAGTTTGGCCAGTGGAGAGGATAGTCTAGATGACCACAACAGTTTGGCCAGTGGAGAGGATAGTCTAGATGACCACAACAGTTTGGCCAGTGGAGAGGATAGTCTAGATGACCACAACAGTATGGCCAGTGGAGAGGATAGTCTAGATGACCACAACAGTATGGCCAGTGGAGAGGACAGTCTAGATGACCACAACAGTATGGCCAGTGTAGAGGACATCTCAACATATTTTACAGGTAATGTCTATTGGGAAAGATTTTAAAAAGGTATCTACCTGCATGCTTACTATTTTTTGTGCTGATGAAGTCCTTATGTTGGAACATTCTGTAGTTTGAAATGTTTACTGGGTGAGTATCTTAAGATGGTGATGGTTGAGATGGTTGTGACAGTTGGAGGTTGTAGATAATTTTCATGTTTTATGTTTGTCAAAGTTTAACAGCTAATGAAATGTTTACAGTAATAAAGTTGTTTTGTTTACCTGTACAGGTACACATGAAGTACAAGAATGTCTTGAAGGTCAAGGTGAGGCAGATCTACACACACACCTGGCAAACTGTGAGAAAAATCCTGGCCATAAAAACTTTGTACCTGTAAATCAGTTAAGTTTTGAACATTTTCCTTCTGGTTACCATGACAACGATCTGTATGCTCTCACAAAAGCCCTGGCTGACCTAACTGTCAGGATAGCCGTTAAGTTGACCAGTCGAGACAGACCAGAGTTTGTACCAGGCACTAAAGATCCATATCCTTGCTACAACACCAGGGTACAGAACTCACTGAGGACAGGGACTGGTGGGGTGTGGGGTGTGACCAAGTACACAGAGGGGATGGGTGACTACAGAACTTGTCCATGTCCTGAATGTGACCACACGGACACACCCAGCAAAGTGTGGTGGGAGTTTGGTGTGGTGACAGCCAGACATGTGGTTTTTGATGAGAGTGAGGCGAGACAGTCCAGCTGTAGGTTGTGGTTTGATGATGATAAAAGTCCAGTGGTCAAGATTTATGGGTGGAAGATGTGGGGGTCAGACACTGAGGGAGACTTGTGTGAGTTGTGTTGTGTGACACATGTCGTAGATGTAGCTGATAAACTGGAAAAGATGATGAGGCGGTTTAAAGGTCTACGTGATAAAGTAAGTGAAAAATATAAGAGTCGTAGAGATGTGGACAAGCTGGCCATTATAGTGTCACATCCTCATGGCTGTTCTAAGCAGGTCTCTGTAGGTCACTGGGTGGACAGGCAGGTGGTGTGGGATAGTGACTGGGCCAGGTACACGTACACAACTAGCACCTGTCCAGGTAGCAGTGGGGCTTGGGTCTACAGACTGGGGTGGGGCTGGACTGACCATCCCCACAGTGGAGCTAACTATGGTGGATTAAATTATAGTGGGCTGTGGATGGACAGAGACTTGTAGTTGTCTGCTCTTGTATATGTTGGCTGGTGTCCCTTTCGCTGCTCCCCATCATCCCCCCTTATAGCGTCTCTACAGTGCGGTTTGAACCCAATTAGCAAGTCAGATTAGCGACGAGGCAGGAAGGCATTGTTTGTGTCCCTCCCCTTATCAGATGACCCCATGTCTACCAGAGGGTAGGAATGCAGCGGTGGGGGATCAGGACCGATACGACGGCCAATGCGTTAGGTAGAGATAGAAAGGAGACGGTTTTTTGTGTGGCTTGGAGAGAACTTTTTATACGTAAGTGTGAGACATTTTTAATTATACAATCTGTCAAACGATTGATATCTTAAGTTAATACTGATGTTATTATTGTCAGAAATTTTTGATTATATCATCAGATCTATGTACGAAATTTGTAATGTACCTACGTTTTATTCGGCCGTGTGGCCTGTTAGAATTCCAGAATACACGTTACTGCATATTAAGTTAGACCTAATCTAATTGTATTGTTCCGTTACAGCATAAATTGCGGTCGACCTATTTTTGCTGGGTTTTTTTATTTGGATTGAATAATTATTTTGTTTTATTTTTCTTTGAGTTAAGTTTTACATTATAGTTAATTCTTGTGGAGGTATAAGTTATTTTAGTTGTGGAACAAAGTACCTCCTAGTTATCCGACTTGACTTTATCGTTTCGGATGAGTGAATGAGATCACTTCTCGGTTCTCCCCTTACATATAGAATGTAAACAAACATGGCGTCTGTTGAATGTCTGTCTTTTCTAGAATGTAAACAAACATGGCGTCTGTTGAATGTCTGTCTTTTCTAGAATGTAAACAAACATGGCGTCTGTTGGATGTCTGTCTTTTCTAGAATGTAAACAAACATGGCGTCTGTTGAATGTCTGTCTTTTCTAGAATGTAAACAAACATGGCGTCTGTTGGATGTCTGTCTGTTCTAGAATGTAAACAAACATGGCGCCTGTTGGATGTCAGTAGTATATTAGGTCTCTTTTGGGTCGTATGGGGAGCAGGAGCAGGAGCAAAGGATATATATATTAAAATACTCCCCCAGCCTGGTACAACGAGATGTAGTAAAATACTCCCCCACCTGGGGGAGCAGGATGGGGAGGGTGGAGGAGCCGGAGGTACAATGAGATATAGTAAAATACTCCCCCACATGGGGGTGGGGGACAAGGTGGGGGAGTAGGTCAGTAGATCACCACCGGTGACCTTGTGACGTAATCACCACCGGTGACCCAGTTACGTAATCACCAAAGGTGACCTAGTTACGTAATTTTAATTAGTTTTTAATTAGTTTATTTTTTAATTAGTTTAATTTTACTTAATTTGATTTTTTAATTAGTTTAATTACTTTGTATATATTTTGTTTGTTGTTTTTTAATTAGTTTAATTATTATTAATTTGATTTTTTAATTCGGATTTTAATTAGTTTGAATTTTTTTAATTAGTTTGATTTTAATTAATTTGATTTTAATTTTGTAATTTTAATTTCTTATTTGTTTATTTTTTTCGTTCATTCGTTCATTCGTTCATTCGTTCATTCGTTCATTCGACCATTCGACCATTCGCTCATTCGCTCATTCGCTCATTCGATCATTCGCTCATTCGATCATTCGCTCATTCGTTCATTTGTTCATTCGTTCATTCGTTCATTCGTTCATTCGTTCATTCGTTCATTCGATCAATCGTTCATTCGTTCATTCGTTCATTCGTTCATTCGTTCATTCGTTCATTCGTTCATTCGTTCATTCGTTCATTCGTTCATTCGTTCATTCGTTCATTCGTTCATTCGTTCATTCGTTCATTCGTTCATTCGTTCATTCGTTCATTTGTTCATCTGTTTATTCGTTCATTCGTTAATTCGACCATTCGTTCATTCGTTCATTCGTTCATTCGGTCAATTATTATGTATTCTCATTTAGTAAGTGATGTAATTAAAACAGTTCCTCTTTAAGAATTTCATTACCCATTTCTTCGTCTAAGAACATACTTCCGAAACCTGTTAGTTGTGTTAGTAAACAGATATGACTATTGGCCATGTGGTTATTGATTTATTGATCATGTTGTTATAGACTTCTACCAAATGATCAACCAAGTCTGCTAACGACGTCTGGTAAACACACATATATTAAGTTGTAGCTGACCACTCCTTTAGCAACTTGCTACACCTGTCATCACAAGTTTTAACACATGTTTTATCTCCCTTTCTTTCAAGTTATGTGACGTCAGACCATCTCAATATAATATACAATTATAAAGCACATTTTAACGATATCAATAAAGTATACACTTATAATCCACATTTCTAAACTGTATTTTAAAAAAGTCATTGAAGAAAATGTCCAGATTATTAAGTGGGTAGATGGGAGAATTTCAAGACATAAAACACTAATTTGTGGGGAAATTGATTCAACTAACAAATGATCGTCTCAATGCCAGGGTATCAGACTTTGCTTGTAGAATACCTCAAGGGTACATTTACACGAGAAAAGGCTAAATGACATGATCAAGTTTTGTAAAAGTCGGCTGAAGTTATCTCTAAGAGCTAAAGAGAAAAGCAAGACTTTTGGTGACTTCCATTTGATTACACATCACTGTTCTGTAGTCTTTGGTCTTTATTTGTCACACTGGTTCAAACATCTTTTTCAACACTCATAGAAAATGTAGACAATAACGTATTTTTAGAACCATATCTACTTTACTGGTTACTTCCCTTTGACCGTAATATTGTATGTCGTACTTCTAATGTCTATCTCTAACACTGATTAGATATTTTTTTCTCCACGTGTAGAAAAGGTAGAAAACCACGTATTTTTATAACAATTTCTGTTTTATCGGTTACTTCCCTTTGACCATCCCGTGTCATATAACAGTGTTATGTTCCCCTGTTTTCTCGACTAGTTGATATTTAGGACGTACCTGAGCTCACCCAGCTCTGGTGGGTACCTAGCTCATGTTAAGGAAACATTGCAGCTGAACATAATAATGACTCCACTCCCCCTCATAAACCGAGGACATTGAAGCAGATAAACTCTACTTCATCTGCCCCACCTGACTCGGGCATGAACGTGAACAGATGATAATTGAGCGAATATTTCTTTCGGTACTAGTCGTACAGTGCCTGCTTCAAAACAATGGCATTTTTTAAAAAGGCAGTCTTTTGGGAGTCGCACAAAATAGAAAATAATTTTAATAGTTTTTTTTTTGCTTACCTTTTGTAATTCGATTAATGTTTGTTATGTATAACATGTAAAGTTAATGTAGGTAAAGTTTTTATAACTAAAAGTGTTTTGTTAGAATTAAACTTGAAAGTTCACTATCTGGCAGTAGATAAAATTAAATAAAACAAAGCATCAAAAATAAATGGGCGAATAAAAATCATACTTTACTTAATTATAAAATGCTTATTAAAACCTATAGCGACACTTTTAATGAAATTAAACCAACTTTAGAACAGAAGTTAGACCTACACTGTCTGGCTTTGCTTTACATCGTTGAATAGACTTGTTCCATTACACCGGCTGAGTTGTCTTTTACATGTAGGCCTACTTTCTCGTGGTTACCTGGGTAGGGAAATATATAGGCCATATTTTATGTAATGACAATTTTATATTTAAGTTCTAAAAACAACATAAAAAGATGTGTATTTAAATAGACGAATGCATTTCTAAAGTACATGACTTTATATTATAATTTCATCAACTTTCTAATTATACGCATACATATTATAGTAATTGTTTATAAATTAAGAAAATAAAATAACTATAATTATTTTCATTAATCAAACTTAGGAAAACATGCTGGCCTCCTCTCTAAAGCATAACCAGATCAATATTCTGTTGATCGGACCGTGTGCATCTGGGAAAAATACCTGCGCCCATTTTATCCTTGGAGATAGCCTGTCTGAAGTGGACGGGGTCAGCAGATGCTTCCACACATCATGTGGTCTCTGGTTCCAGAAACTTCCAGAACTACAGCGTCAAAATCGTGGCGTGCTCACTGCCCACCAGCAGAGATACTGACCACACGTGTGCAGACCTTCTGCCTAAGGTTCTCCGGCACTGCACTAAAGGCATCCACGCACAAATCTTTTTCCTTAGGGTTGAAAATGCTCTTATCAAGCTGCAGGGTGACTATGAATTCAAGATTCTACGTCGATTTTTTGAATAAAATTTCCTGCATCAGCATGGGACTGTCATTATTGCCAGTGATGGAACTACAGATGATTTGGAAGCGAACATCATGAATCGGACTTTGACAGGGACAGTTAGACAGATTTTTAGAGCTGTGGGCTACAGATATTTTATATTTAATGCAGAAGAATCAACTCCCCTTGACGATCCGGTTGTCTCAGAGTGCTTGGGACTCGTTTTGTCGAGTTGGCCTCAGCCAGAGAATCCAATATCCATCAGTAAGTCATTTTTTCGTTTGGTTGTGGCTATACTTCGACATTAGTAATTCATCCTTCGTTTCGTTGTGGCTATACTTCGACATTAGTAAGTCATTCTTCGTTTCGTTGTGGCTATAGTTCCCCATCAATAAGTCATTCTTAGGTTGGTAGAGGCTATAGTTCAGCAGCTTGTTAGTAGAATGTAATACATTTGTATTGTCCTCGGCATTAAAAAAAATTGTTTCATTGTATCACTCATCAATTACCAGATTAAAAATGAAACTAATAATACGTTCATTCTTTAAATAATGAAATCAAATTAATCAGATTTTAAATATATTATTATGTTCGTGTTGATATATGCTTTTCTCATGAATTGTGGAAACGAAAGACTTGAATCACACCACGCCTAAACGCGGGCCAGCATACATTGTAACACCTATAAAACTATGCATACTCTACTCACCAGACCCGCGACTGCGA